TACTGATTTGCTGATCAAACACATAAAGTCAAAGGGTTTGCAAGAGTTCTGACAGCTTAGCAAATCTTGACTCAATTTTGTTCTAACTGAGAGTCTGAAGATTGCAAGAAACCAGATGTTCCCATAAAGAGAGGGAGAAAGCAGCACAGTTTGAGGAGGAAAAAAACACCTACATTTTGTACAGTAACAGCTAAAAAGAGATCAAGCAATTTTTGATGGAGTTAATAATTCTGGAGTCTGGATCTTTCAGGAGGAAAAAAAAAAAAAAAAGAAGGCCTGTTTTCATTATTTTCCTCCTCCTCCTTAAATTCATAGTGTGCACTTCACCTATTACCAGGAAGGAAACTGCAGGGAAGTGGGGAAAGAGTGACATGCAAACCACCAGACAAAACTATCACATTCCAGATATTTTTGTCCCCAGCCTCAAGTCATTTCACTCAGTCAAACTCCTTCACTTCAATTCGCTTTTCAGGCTGCACCCCAATTTGAAATGGTCCCCACAGCCAGCCTTGGCCGGGCTTCCAGAGGAAATATTACCCACACCTCATATCAAGAGCAGAGCTAACAAGCAAGTCAGAGATTATCCCGGGAGCCTCAGGAAACAAAGACCTGTATCCTGCGGCCGCGACACCAGCTACTGTCAGTATAGTCTCCGTGACTGCATTGTGCCCAGGTACATGGAAAATGCCTTTCTATGTTACCTAATAAGAACACACAATTACAGACTGCACCCTTGTTAGTTCCCAGCCTCTGCCCTAATCAAGGCACCAGATTTATAATCTGCTAGTTATATCAAACCTGAAATCCTAACCACAACGACCATTTGCTATCCTACAAGACCGTACATTTATAGGCAAACAGAACGGGAAAAAAGTATAGGCCAAAATGGGACACTTGGGAACTATAACTTTCAGTAAACCTTACCAAATCTTCCAAAATAAATTTACCACTTACTGCATGGGAAATTCGTCATAAAGAAACATCATCTGTTCTCTGACCCATAGCCAGAGTGCTTAGGGGATACAGTGAAAATCTCCTCAAGAAATCAGGGATGAACAGCCACAGCTTCCTTATGAGTTTCATCACCTCAGTGGCTACAAGCACATTTGATCTTCCTAGTTTAAACTGTGTTCATTTCCACATAAAACATGCTCCCCTGCTGAGATGACCAAGTGGGTAGAAGAGAAATCTATGATGCACAGAGCCTCCAAGTCAGATAACATTTCTTCCCTTCATCTTGACCTGAAAAAGTGCAAACAAGTGTAGGGTATATCACAACCTATGTGAGAGATCCTGTGTGCCCCTCCACAGGGTAACTGGTCCCGAGCACAGACCATTTGAAGCTGGTTAAGTACACAGCACAGTGACCATGGGATGGCACTCAGAACAGCCACTGCCTGAGAAGAGAAACAATCTTGTTAGATCTATTAGATGAGCAAGAAAGAGAAGGAAGACTCCTATAAAATGTAATATCCATTTTAAGTCAGGTTAGCATTTTCAAAAAGCTTATGGTATACACTGTAGAGTGTCAAAATTATCAAATTATCTCCCTATGCAGATGTAGCTTCCATGAAAAGTGAAACACATTCAGAGTAGGCTGTTGACTTGTCACCATCTTTCATGCCAAATCTGGGTTATCTTAGGCATTTCTTCAAAGAATTAGACCTCCGCTATTAACAGCTGGGCATGCCACTCTCAATCAGAGAGCCTGTAAGATGTTAAATCATTCCTTTTACTTCACTCATCCTTTCAGACCAACACACACAGTGCACAGAAAGGGCTCACTGTCCTCCTAATCCCACAGTGACTTTCTATAGCCACTGCAAGTGTCAGTTTCACAAGATGTCATAGAGCACAAGCAATCAAAATCCTCAAGCATGCTGAATATGCCAAGCATGCTGAATGTCCATCAGTACCAAATATCAAAGTGGGCCTTGACATGTTTTCTCAACATTCTTTATTTTTCAAAACTTGGCCTTTACAAAGAGCACATAAGTACATCTCAAACTGGTCACCAGTACATGGAATATGTTACTCAATTACATACACACTAAGCACTTGGGTATCTTGTTAGAATGCAAATTCAGCTTCAGGAGTCTGAAGTGGGGCCCAGGATTCTGAATTCTTAAGCTAACTTGAGGCAGATGCAGCTTCTTGCTCTTTGAGATGTAAGAATCTAAACAAAGGACTTCACTTTGAACTAAAGCCCCTCCCTTCGTGGGTGCTAAAATTCCCAAAGAACTCCTTTAATAATAGATAATGTTTATTGGGTAATTACTTAATATTGCAGACACTTGACATATATTAACTTATTTAATTCTCCCAGTAACTTGTTATCATCTCCATTTTACAGATAGGGAAACTGAGTCACGGGGTAATGAAGTAACTTTTCAAGGTCACAGAGCTTCTAAAGGAAATAGGATTTGAACTGAAGCAGCCAAACTTCCAAGCTTTTGAGGTAGCCACTACACACACTGACTCTCAGTAAGAAAAAGCAAACTATTTCAGGAAGATAGATATTGCAGAAGCGAGGACAGAGGAGACTAGGAACTTAGATGCAGATTTCGAGAAAACGCAGAGCTCACTAAAGTGCAATGTTTCCATGTAGTCACCACCAGAGGGAATATATCAGTCAATTACATTGTCAGCCAGGGGAGAAAAAAAGTGTATCTTAAATTTTCCAACTGGGCTGCACTAAACACCTTAGCAGATGTTCTCTGAACACTTTTACAACAGTATACATGCTGTAGAACCACTGTAAAACTTCCAACTGTGGGGGGAAAAAACGACCATTGGGACCGGGCTTGTGGCCAAGACACTGAGCACGATGCTGAAATTGACTCCCTGGAGCAGCTGTCCTCTGACTCCCTTTGGTCCATTTTGGCCAGAGACAAGGAAAGGGAGGAGTAAGACCCATAGCTGCACCTTGCGCTCCCACAGCCTGGTGGAAAGGCGGTGTCTTTACAGCGGAGGAGGAAGCGTCTAAAGGGGCAATCGCATGGTGTACGGAACATGCTTCATTTCTCAATCAGGGAAACAAGGCCCAGCCGGAAGTACTGGAGGTGCTGAACCCAAGGGACTGGTGAGCCCAGGGCCGCTAGAGGAGTTTTAGATGGCGCTGTCCAAGGTGTCAACGGCGGCAGCTGGCACACTTTGCCACCCGCGGGGCGGCTGAGCGCTTTGTCTATCTACCGCAAGGAAACGGGAGGGCGCCTATCTGAATAAACACGCCCTAACAGCAAAGCGGCACCTGGTGGGTGGGAAATTTTAGAGAATTGTAGAAGGCGGGCGAGGCAGGGGGCCCAGCTGGGAAATCGTAGAGACCTGCCCAGAGGAGTTATTTGCAGCCGCAGCACGCAACACAATGAGATCTGTCCGCTTTGTGCAGCTCACCGGCAGCCGTGACTGCAGGGACAGGACCCCTCCCCCGCCTCAAGCCCCCACCTAGAAACGTTCAACTCTGGCACTGTATGGGCCAGGATCACTCTGTGGGGGTGAGAAAGGGGGCGGAGAGTGCAGGGAAAAGGTGAGAGGAAGTAGCCCAGTCAGGTTGTAGGAGGATGCGAACAGCGGCAGGAAGAATATCTGCTTAGAGATACTCCTTCGTTTCTAATGAGGGGTGCTGCCTAGAAGCACCAGGCACCAGCCAATCGCGGAGCTGCTGAAGCAGGGAACTGGGGAGGAGAAAGGAAGGCCAGAGAGTGAGGTGGGGGTAGCAGAGAGATGCCCAGGTCCCAGGGAAAGCAAGCCCCGAGCCTGGCTGACACCAGAGACCCTGCAGCTCCAACTATCTCACTGCTGCACACCTGGAGGGTGGAGGGAGGGAGGAGGGAGTACAGAGGAGAGGCTTTCTTTGTCGGTGCATCCTTCCCAAGCAATGTCTCTCCACAGCACATCAAAGTCTCCGTCTCCAAGCCCACCCCATTTTTAACACTGCATCACTAGCCTGCCTCCTACAAATCCCCCTCACCACCACCACCCGTTACTAATGGCCGTGCCAGGCATCCAAATTCTTAGTGAAGAGCAAGGCAGTGAGATGCCTAGTCAGCAGCCTGCATTTGGTGTGCTAGATTAAACCTGCCAAGAAGCTCCTGTTCACCCTGACGCCAACATCATCAAAGATGCCCCACTGGCTCCTAGTGAACAGCGATCCCTGTGCAACTAGAGATAGATTGCTTGCACACCTCTGGCCCTCCGCTCACAAATTCAGGCCCAGCACATCTGTCTGATCCCAGATATTCAGAGAGCAACCAGCTGAGTTAAGCATGAGTACCCTACCCACACCATGAAAAGGATGGGCCCAAATGAACTGCTGGTCTTCAGCTGAGAAGAGAACTCCAACTTTGAACGGTGGTGACAGAGATCACCTCCCCTGACACACACTCACTCATTCCACTTGCAGAGGAATTTAAACTGAGTTCCCAGCCAAAGACTTATTAATTTGTCTATTTGTATACATAGTTTTGCTCCAGTGCTCTTGGAGCTTCTGAAATAAGAAATCCCCTCCGGGCGCCTCCACTTGCCTACTGATAGACTGCAGGTGTCTCCCCAGCTGGGAGGAATAGGGACAGAGGGGTTGGCATACAGGGTGGAAATGGGAGATTGATTATGAAAGAAAGACCCGAGATTAGGGGCTACCCAGGTCTATGTAGAGTGCAGCTTGAGGAAGGACTGAGGGGGTTGGGATGACTAGGATTCACACAAAGCCCAGCCCAAAAACGGGTAGACACTGCAATATCACACACCCAGGGACGCAAGAGATTTCCACATAGGAAAATTCAAAAACCGAAAGTCTTACCTTGAAAAACACTAGTGCCCAAACAGGTCTCCAAGGCACCAAGCTTGCCCCCTGGATGTAACAGAGTACTGAGTGCACTTCAGCAAAGGGGCAAATTGGCACCAGGAAGGAGGGGTAGGGAATAAATTCCATGCTAGGTTCCCCCCTCACCCGCAGAAATGCAAAAGGGGAGAGGGGAGTTATGGTGGGCAAGAAAGGATATGGCCAATCGATGAGCTTCTTGGCGTATTTCCTGACAATGTTATCTTCTCCGAAGATGAACAGGGATCTGTTGACGGTGAAACAGTTCTGCCGGACAGGAATGGGGTTGTACAAAGCCATAGTCCGCGCCCTCTGCGCTTTCGACTGCTTGTAGGCGGCCGCCGGCCCCGAGGCTGGCACCGGGGTTCCTTGTCGGTTCCTGCTCTGGTCCGAATCTCCATCTCCCGACCCCGGCCTGCCGACCACCGCCTCCCCGAAGCGAGCCATCCTGAAGTTTAAACAGACAGAAGACACACAAAGGTGATGGCCGAACACCTGCACACAGCAACAAGCAGAAAGACACACGGAGACCTAGAGCCGCATCCAGCCCGGCGCGGGGACCACCGCCTCTGGGGAGCCCCGCGAGCTCTTGGGAGAGGCGGCAGCAAGCAGCCTCGCCTCTCTGAACTGTTGAATCTAAATACAACCTCCGCGGCGCTCCATTCCTCAAGAAGGAAAAAAGGGGGGTAGGGCTTGGGGGTGCTCAGTTTCTGGAGGCAAATTTTTTTTTTTTCCCTCAAAATGCCAGTGTGTGGTGGTGGTGAGGGGCCGGAGAGGAGACGGATGAAGTAGGCTGCTCTTCAAACATAGCTCCTCTTCTTCTGGAAGGCGCACCACCTAGTTCAGGGAGAGAGGCAGGCACGGCCCGCTAGGTAACAGTTTGGTGATTTATTGGTTGGGGGGAGGGGTAGGAGGGAGGGGAAAATGAAAACAAAAGAACTTTGAAAAAAAGAAGAAGAAGACGAGGACCAGTTACGGTGACGTGCTTTATAACGCCGGCTCCTACAAGTCCATCTAAGAAATTCCACAGCCAAGACTTGGGTCTTTAAATCTGCCAGCGCAGACGCATCCAAAGGTTGGAGAGAGAGGGAGGGTGGGGGAAGAGCACTATTGAGGTTCCTGCGTAAACCGCAACGCCCAAAATATCAAAATCAGAAGTCGATCCAGCCGGAGAGGGACAAATGACTTCACAGCTCCTGCGTTTGGGGTAGAAGTTGAGCAGCATCCAGAGAGCAGCGAAGCCCGAGTGCCAGCATCCGCCCGGAGCGCTCGCCGCGGCCGCCGCCGCCGCCTCCCCGGATCAGCATGCAACAGCGATCCGCGGCTGCGCCGGGAGAGGGCGGGAGCGCGAGAGGGCGGGCGCTGGGGCGAGGGAGGAACAGGTTGCAGCCAGCCTAGCGGTGGCCCGGCACGGGACTTGTCCAAGGACCGAACTTCCTCTCAGAGGACGGGGTCTTCTCTTCCACCCAGCTGCACCGAGCTGGGAAGCCGCGGAAGGAGAGCGGGGCGGCGGGCGCGCAGGGCGAGCACCCGCCGAGCGCAGAGGCGCAGCGAGGGGGCAGCAGCGCGCGGCGAGCGCGGGGGAGGGGCGGGCTGCGGCCGGAAGGCGGGAAGGTCGCGGGCGGGAGGCCGGTTTGCCTTGTTTGACCGAAGGGTGGTACCAGGCCACCTCTGCAATAGTCCAGGGAAGAGTCACCTTTCCCCCCAGTGATGTCGACAGGCTGGCGCAGCGGCACGGCAGTCTCCGCAAGAGAGCGGGGACCGGCGCGGACCGCACACGCACGTGCGCCTCCGGTCCCCGCAGAGAGGGGTCCCCAGTGCGGTGTCCCGTTGAGCGACTGGCGCGGTGCTGAGCTCGTCGCTGCCATCGCGGGGATTCCGGGCCTTAGCGCCCTGCGCGCTGCTCACCAGGACCGCATCGCTGCTGCTCAGCACCGCCCAAGCTCCACACACACCGCCAGGGATTTCCACGGAGAGGACAGCACCCTGGCTCCATCTCCCCACTTAGTACCCAGGAAGCCCAGTGGGAAGCCTCGGGCTTCTGGGGTTGCGCTCTGGAGGGAGCCTCTGCCTTCCTCCTAATGGCTCCAGCTAGGGCAGCCTCCTGGGTTCACCTCCAGCAGCGCCCAGAGCCTCGCCTCCTAGAAGGGTATCCAGATATTACGGTGTTAGATGGTGAGGGCCGAACTAAAACTTCCCATCTCACAATCCTGACAGAAGGCCTCTCCCTCTCCCCACTTTTACTTCCAAATAAGCTCCACTGACTTGCCTACACCTACTCTATTTAAAAAAAAAAAAATCGGAAGTAGGGTCTGAGCAGCAGAGGTAGGAAAGGGAGACCACAAGCCTGAAAGATAGAACCCCCGACTTTAGCACCCAAGCCCTCTTACAGGTGATGAAGTGCTTTAAACTGAGGACAGGGACTAGCTGTCCCCTCCGATGTCCACACTAGCTGCAGCACACCCTTCTCTGCTTTTTCCTGCCGTGGCCTGAATAGTAGTTGTACCCAAATCCTCCCCAACAGAGCAATGGAAGGGATAGGTTGAGGAGTGGCTGAGGAAGGAAGCGGCTGGAAGCTGGAAATCATAAGTGAGTGAGTGTAGCCCTGTGAGTGTGAAAGGCAGTATCTGTGTGTGAGAGAGTAATTGGTGAGAGGCGAGGTAACTCCTGAGTGCAAGTGTGCGCCTCTGTGTCTGTGAGTACTGCCACGTATCTGTTTGTGAGAATTGGTGTGCTTGTGCGCAAATGGGTGTGCGTGTGAGCGTTGTGATTGTGCCCCTTTGAAGGGAAATGCTTTGAGTATGACAAACCCAAAAGAAGGTCTCAGCCTGTCACCAGCAGCCAGCACTGCTGACCTTGAGGACAGCATGTTGACCTTTCGATTCAAGGGAGTCCATTTCAGGCCAAATTACTATTCAAGGTGCATCAGCTCTAATTGTTATTTTGATTTCATTTTACTGCCTTTCTCTGTCCTTCCTCCAGGCTTAATTGGAGAGTCCTCTTCTTTCTGAATACTTAGTCAAAAGTGAAAGGATTGGGGGCTGTGCTGTGCTCATGAATCCCATCAGTCAGAGGGTAATTTAAAACCAGTCACAAGTGGTTTGTCTCAGTACCTTGTAAATTCCATAAGACCAGAAAGGGCTTTCTGGAATTATCAAGTACATGTCCATGCTGTCCAGGAGGACCATAGTTCATAGCACAAAAATCCACTCAAATCATTCATTTGACAAATATTTGCATGCCCCTTTCATGTGCCAGGCACTGTTCTAGGCAGAGGGTTTAATGAACAAAATGGAGAATGCCATAAATATTGTATTTTCTTAGCATGAGTCAAATTGTGTATCCCCACTGGCTAGAATGTGTCACAGACTTCACTCCCATGGTGAGACTTCATCCCTTCCCTTCCGTCACATTCACATCTTGGTGCTGGTTTGTTGACACCCAGGATAAGCAGGGCTTGCTAGCCTTTTACCCCCCAGAAGTGGTCTTTGGAAGATCAGGGGCCCCGACTGGTCTTCTCAATGCCACCCACTGAGCAAAGATACCGTACTAATTCCCTTTCTTGTCTCTACCATGCCCTGTGTCTTCTGTGGCTGCTGTAATTATTAAGAGATCAGAAATACTTATGACAGGATGTTCAATGTGGACTCATGAAGACCCCTTCCCCCAGAGCTTAAAACTGCCTTCCTGCCCCTCAAGGGGCAGGCTTCACAAGTGCACGGCTGGGAATCACACGGAACACACTGGGAGGGAGCACCTGTGCAGGGGGGTTCAAAGGATTGTGGGAAGGTGGAGCCCAAGAGGATGGGGCAAGCATGGTAACATCAATGCCCTTGGGCAGAGACTTGGCCTACAGGCAGCCATGCTGATAAGAAGGCATATTCTCTTCTTTACTCCCCTCCTGGCTGTCACAGCTTTTGAGAGCTTCCAGATCTATGAATTTCTATACTGGTTTCTTGCTCTCCAGTCCTCATTCTCCCAGCTGCCAGATGGCTATAATTTTATTGATTAAATTTGTAAATTTATTTATTTATCAATTTACATAAACCCTACAGCTGGCCCTCACTGCAGACATCTGAGGTCAGCCTGGCAACACATGTATCATGACCCTGATTTGACATACAAAGCAGCAGAGTTTAAGAACTGCGAAGTTTGCTCAGGTCTGATAAGAGGCGGTGTGAACTTCTAACAAATCTGCCTTCCAGTTTCTAGTACACGTGCTAATTCCAAATTGTTCATCAACAGGAGAAGAAATGTTACAATGACACTATGCCTATGGAAATTCTGTGCCTACTATCCTCAAATTGAATTTGATCAGTGGCCAAGTGCTCTTGGCACTATCCTGGGATGGCACTTAATGGGAAGAAAGCTACTGCCCTCAAGAGACACTATTGCCATAATATCTCTATAAGACAATCTGGTGGGCATTTGCCTTCCGGTCCCCTTACAGATCCATAAATGGAAAGTGGAAAATCAGCAACCAAACTCTGAGTGGAAACCACTTTGAAGACCATCTGAAAATCCCTTTCCAACCTCAGGGACAGTAGTCGTTATTTCCCTGTTGTCAGAGCGCCATCTACTGGTCATTTGTGAGAACAGGCACTTAGCAGCCTGGTATCCCAGCACCCCACACTTGTGCTTCAGACCCCAGACATTCCTAACGGTTGATCTCCGGCCACCAGCCCTCTACTCCCTTATGGAAATATATGGGTTCAATCCCTGAATTTCCAAGTAGTGCAACCAGCCCACCTTACAGTCCCTGGAAAGTGCAGCTCCACATAGTGGGCATAGGTCACTACCACACACCATGTACAAAAGGTGAGACACAGCAGCCAAAGGCTTTCCATGTGTTTCTGCAAGCAGCGACATGCACTTTAGAAGCCCAACAGAACTGAGTGAAAAACTTCCAGATTACTGATCCTGTTAAATTATTAAATTTTAAAGACTTTATCCTATTGCTCTGTTACTTAGGGAACTATCCAAGGTGCAAGCAAGAGAGACAGATATTAGTGGGTAGTCCCCTCAGTCTCCTCCACAAAAGAAGGAGAACAAGATTGGTCACAGTGTCCCCAGATCAGCAGCATGTGCAGTACTAAGAAGATAGATGTAGGTGGCAGCGTTGGAGAATCAGTCAACCTACTCCCCAATTCATAAAGCTTCCCAGATCTGGCACTCCCCGGGCCCTTTTCCTGTGGAACTTTAGCCCATCACTAAGGAATCTGCAAATGTGGGCTTCATCCAAAATGCATGTGCCACTCTCACTAGCCTTGCTCTCCCATCTGCCCCCACCCTGCCAGTTACACTCAGATAGCTTATGCTTAACTATCAGAGCCCCTTTTGTTCTATTTTTCCCCTGTTGAGCTTTTCCAAGAAATAGACTCTTATGCAAAGCAGTGCTCTAAGGAACATAATGCAGAGAGGATTTGGGAGTGGGTTCTTAAGAAAAAG